TAGAGAGCGTGACTTGAGTGTATAGATCTATACGGGGCTGACTACCCCACACCTGGCTGCTAGCTACAGCCGAACCGAAATGGTTCAAGGGTGACGAAAGTCATAAGTATGTGGACGACTTATTGCCACATGTGGACTACTTATTGCCACAGGTTTCAGTCTATTGTATGGTTATGGAACTCGCAATTAGGATAACAGAGATTTACTTACAGTAATAATGGATTACTTTATACATCGTTTACATCTTTTACATCTTTTACTTACTGTAACTAACATTCAGGAAGGTACGGGACCTTCCTGGGGAAAACATGGAATCTAATCACGATTACATCTTTTACATCTTTCACATCGTTTACATAAGATACATACATGCAGGAAAGCATGGGGCTTTCCTGGGTAACACTTACATAACTAGAAAGAGTCACAGAATGGATAACATTACATCTTTTACAATTTGTAACATACAATAAGGAAAGTATGGGACTTTCCTGGTAACACATGATAAGTAAACAGAACAGTTTAACCAGTCAGATAACCAACTATACATTTTCACATGAGTAAACATGTTTTCAGTGTACAAACTTACTATACTTTACATTTGTGAAACAATAACCAACTTTTAAGAAAATACGGGATTTTCTTGGTGTACATAACATTTCAGAAACAGAAAGGAAACCGATACATTTTCGTAAAACAAAACCGCTTATGAACTCACCAGCTTTATGCTGATTTTCAAACCGCTTGTGTTCTCAGGTCAGCGTTAGAACAGGTACCCGAAGATCCTTTTGCATGAAGACGGTGTACATGAAGACCCGTTACATTTTGTCTATATATACTATGTATCACAACTGTACAAACTTTACTTTTGAAACAACTGTAAAACTGTTATTATGTAATGTAATGCTTGTTTTACTTTACTTACTATGTACATTGGATTTGATACTCAACACGGTAGTCAACCCCGGAAATGTATTCCGCCTTCGGTTTTCGGGGTGTGACAGATTGGTATCAGAGCCCTTGTTTATAGTGAATAAAGTATACCAAACCTTACATGGTATAAAACTATAAACACTAAAGGGCCTAAGTGCTCTGAATTAAAAGTATCTTCAAACTACAAGTATTTTCAAAAGTATACAAGTATACCAACCGTCGTCATCCGTAACCACAAGTAGAACAGAACATAAGTAAATGGGTGTTGTGTACTACGGTTAAACCTGGGCAGTTATGTAGTCGTGTCTAGGGTCAATATGCCTGGCCAACTATATTCATTCGAGACACGGCCAACATGTGCTTGGGAGTGACTGTGGTATGTGACATGCCTAAAACTTACCCTAATATCCCAAACATCGAATCATTGTCGTAAACAATTCATGAAATACTATGGGAGTATTTCTCGATCCCGATCCTCTGTAGTAGTCCTTATTCAATTGGTTTCCCTGTGATCACTCTTAGCGATAAATTATCTGTTCGATAACTTTTCCTGCTTTATCGCTTACTCGAATCATATAACTGTCATGTCTATCGATTCAATGTAGAGGACTTACCATCCTCTTTTCTTGATCTTATTAGATCAAGATGCCTCCCCAAAGAGACCTAGCTCAAAGAACAAACAATCCTTCTTCGCCGCCACCTCCTCCCCAGTTTGACTAGCATCAGTTCAGACAATGATGACAGCTGCAATGGTAGCAGCTATGTCACAAATGAACCCTAGTGGTTCGGTGGTGGTACTCAATCTCAAAACCCTGAGGGTAGCCAGGGACACCAAAGAGGGGGTTCCTATAAGGATTTCATGAATGCGAAACCATCCTTTAATGGCGCTGGAGGTGTCATTTCTTTATCGATGGTTCGAGAAA